TGATGCAACTAAAACTGTATGCTAGTTGAAAAGGAAACAGAAAGTAGTGACACAGAATAACTGGTTTACTAAGTTACTAAATACTATTAATGAACAATTCATCTCTTTCTTATTAAATATATGAATACAGACACTTTAAAGAAAGGTTTTTAATAAGAGCTAAATTTACTTGCCTAATACAAGCTCCATACATGGGGATACTTTATATTTTATGGACTTGATGATCTCGAAGGTTGTTTCCAACCATAATGATTCTATGATTCTAAAATGTTTATAGTTCATGACTAAGAAAAAATATTCTAATTTCTATAGACATCAGTTACCTGCTTTCTAGAGAAGGGACAGGCCTTGGTGTAGCTGTACAGGACTGAAGAACCTCGTTCAGCCACACCAGCCACTGCACAAGCCTAAAGCGCATCAGCTCCCGGGGTGCAACTTCCCTCTCACAGAGAGGGGCACGCGCCGAAACGTGCGCAGGGCCCGGGTGCACCAGGCACGTCCCGGGGCGCCCAGGGAGGCCCCAGTGCTGTTCCCAGGAAATGCCTGGCCTTTCGGAGGGGGCCCTGCCCCGTCGCAGCGCTGGCGCACGCAGCTCGCTGCCACCAGCGACCCAGCGCCGTCCCCTCAGCCTCTGCTGTTGGCCAGGCCCCTGCAGCAGCGGGATGAGGACCCGGCCCACCCGCCCGGCCTGGCCTCCAGAACAGGGTTGGTGTTAACCACATCGGCCAGTCAAGAGTAATTTGTTTTCAGTCATCACCAATATTCTGATTATTTGTTTACATCTAACGGCAGTTCCGTTGCACTGCTGGTGTTTGTCCATACATATTTCTGCTGTAAGTTTTCCATTCTGCAATGTACATTTTCTTGCCTTTAAAATCAAACTTAACTTTGCTTCTTAAGTAAAGGGAAAAGTTCACTGGTTCTTCTGTGTTTTGGAGAAATAATATTTGTTCATTTGTTTGATAGTAATTTTCTGTGGACAACAGATATTTTTCTAATTTCCTGTTGATTACATATTACATTGTGCAACAAATAAAAGTGAGAGTATAATTTTTCCCATTATTTCATCAAATATATTTTGTTTGACCATTAGGTAAGAAAAGTGCTTAAAAGCTTCCATGAACTTTTTTTGGCTACTGGAAAAAAAACAAAAAGGGGGGAAAAAATCTGCATTGAACTTCACACACAGCAATGAAGGTAAAACAGCAGCAGTGGGAAGCTGAAACAGTTAAACATGTGCCCTAAATACTGATAACTAATTATGCGTTTGTGGACCCAACCCTCCGTAGTCTGTATCCTCACAAAATGCACTAATTTTTACTTTACTTCCTTTTACCAGAAAATCCTCAAGAAGCATTGGCTTCTAGGAAAGAGAAAGAACAACTATGTCTTTACAGTAAAATTCTAGCTCTTCAGGATATATCGTTCAAATAGAATCACAGAACGGTTGAGTTTGGGAATTCTGGAAATCACCTAGACCAAATCTCCCTACTCATGCAGAGCAGGTTGCCCAGGATCTTGTCCACATGGCTTTGAGTATCTCCAAGTGTGGAGACTCCATAACCTGGAGTCCTGAGCAACCTGGTCCAGCGCTCAGTCACCCTCACAGGAAAGAGGCTTTTCCCTTTTCCTTACGTTCAGACAAAATGTCTTCTGTTTCACTTCGTTGTCTCTCATCCTGTCACTGAGCCCCACTGAGAAGAGTCTGGCTCTATCCTCTCTACACCCTCCCTTCAGATACTTGTACATGTAAGATCCCCCTTCAGCTTTTACTTCTGCAGGCTGCACAGTCCAGCTCCCTCAGCCTCTCCTCATATGAAAGATGGCCCAGGACCTTCATCTTGGCAGGCCTTTGCTGGACTTGCTCCAGTAGCTCCACGTGTCTCTGGCACTGGGGATCCCAGACCTACACCCAGCCTCACCAGGGCAGAGGGGCAGGATCACCTCCCTGTAACTGCAGACCACACTCTGCCTAACGCACCCCAGGATCCCACTGGCCTTCTTGGCCACAAGGGCACACTGCTGCCTCATGGTCAACTTGTCTGCCTCAACAACGACATGAACATGTACAGGTGTCCTTACCATTATCAGATGGGCGCCCTATAATAAAATCTTTACCTGATTATTTCTAGCATTAACACAGATTTAAGATTGGTAATCCCCAGGATATGCTTTTTACCATCTGCTTTATATGTTCTCTATTTTGACCTCGCCACCAGGAAAGGGAAGAAAGGTGTTTTACAGTCAGTTTCTTGTTCAAAACTCCTGCTGTTTAACATGTGGGCATCTCTCCCCACTCCTCTCCCTTCCCCTTAACTACAGGAGCAATTCATGCTTTTAAAGTCCACTGCTGCGTTGGTATTCTTTGTTCTCTCCCCATCTATTGATTTTCTGGGGCTTCTTTATTTTAGCTTCTGAACACTCAGATTATTATTCCTAAATTATTTTTTTTCTGCTGCATTTTTTTCCACTCACTAGTCATCTTCTTTTCTAGAACCTGATTCTCTGGCTGCAACATCTGTTCTTTCCTCTCAGAAGCAAGTCTAGACTCATTTCACACACTTCCCTGGAATTACTGCTGGAGGCTGTGTGCACACATGCTGTGGAAAATTAACTCACCTTTGATCTGTTTAATCCTTGTGCTCAGAATCCCCCCCTGGCCATGACAGCCACAGGATGGTGCCAAGAGAGCAGCACTTACGGGGAGCGGACTGCCCTGCCTGGCGCGTTCACTTGCATTTCATGGCCCCACGTGTCCGAGAGACCCACTTTCAGATACCAACTGCTTTTTGAAAAAAAGATCATGAATTTTGCACCAATTAAAGGTTTCTGGTAGGATTCCTTCTGCTTTCACGTGGGAATAGTATTCCTGCCTAAGCTGCGCTCTCGACTGGAGGCAGACCTGTTTACTGAGGGTCCGTCTCTCATGCAACTGTGGCCTTGTACTCAAACTGCAGTTCAAGGGAGCATCAGATAAAAAGGATTTGCAGGACTGAAATATTATTTCAATTTTTAGGTCAGACATCTTAGGTCAGAAAAAACTTTCAGATAGGCCTTCCCCATTTTTATCTCTGTATCAAATACTCTTCCACGATCAGTTTGCAGAATGGCACTCTTCTCAGACAAGACTGATGCTTTGAAGATATAACATGTTACTACATGTGCTCAAGTAGTGGTAAGACAAGCTTTGAACAAACTATTTTAATTTTAGCATTCACATTTTGTTAATGTATATTGATAAGTTTGTTTTGTGAAATAGATACACAGCAATTCCTCTGACCCAGGAACTGATGTAAAAGCTAGAAAGCTCTGCTTATTATACTGAGTACATTGATTCCATCGTAAATCTACTCTTCCCTTACTGTCATTATGACATTCTGTGACTATACACTAATACCCAATTACAAATCCCTCTTTGATTTTTATATATTTTATTACTGAAAGCATTAAAAAAAGAGAACGAGAAATGATTGTATCAACCCCATCACATTTGCAGACAGAATCCACATGTATATGCTGGCACTAGGTAGACAGCCAAAGTAATCTGATTTTATGCTTGTGGATGTACATAGAAGGAATCAACATGAAAAACTAACCAGAGAAGGATATTGTCTTTCTTTTGTGAAATTCCTGTTGGCAAGAAAAGCTTCAAAGCCTGAACACAATGGCAACGTGGATTCTTCTCCATCTTGTTTTTCTGTACTCTTTTAATTTTTATAAAAGTTATTTATCAATATCACTTACAGTCTTGAAAGCTATTTCACTTTCTAATCCACTTTTTTTTTTTTTGTAAAAATCTGCAAAAATAAAACAATGAACTAGTTATCTATACCTTTACTTATAAACAGGATGACAGGACACTGGAATGGGAATCAGGGGATAAGGGTGCTGTTCCAAATTCTTCCATTTTGTTGCAGTAACTCTGTACTTCATTTTCTCCATCTGTAAAAGGTGAAATATTGTATTTATACACACTTCAATATTCCATGTAGTAAATTTCACTGTAACTGATATTATTGCAGACTCCACCAATTCATTACATATCTGGTCTACTTTCATTTTACATACCATTTCCATTTAATACATGTAGTTCAACTGCTGGTAGTACTGTAAAGGCAGAATCCCTAGAAGAAAATGGCAGTGAAAACACATGGCAAAATGGACAACAAAGCACTCAAATTAAATAGTGATGCAAAACAAACACCATTTTCCAACCTCAGCTAAACAGAATTATTGTACAGAAGGTGTTCATTTAGTTAAAAAATAAAGACATCAATAAAAGCGTTGAATGTTACAAATAAAACCAAAGTTTTCATACAGTATCTAAATTGGTAATTCCGTCCGAATGCAATGTATTTTAAAAATGCTGAGAAGGTCAAAATATTTTTTTATATCTACAGATAGGTTTAAGAAAGCAGGTCTCTCTACTTTCTCATTGCCTTTATGAATGTAACCTACTTTTTTTTTACAGTTCCTGTTGTGCTACAGGTATATATTTGGTACAAAGAATGAAATATATGTAGCGAATTGCCAAAAACCATTCATTTTCATTTGAGAGAACATCTAAGACTAATCCCATTTCCAGAGAAGAAGTGGAACACATTCATGCAAGGAGAGACTAAAATTGTTTTTTACAAAATAATAAATCACTCAAGTCTGTTACATAATTACCTTGAGCCATTATCCAATGGAGACATTGGAGGTTGTGTCGAAAAGAGAACATTAGTCATTGAAAATTACAAACAGAAACACATGCCTTCACACATGCTTGTGGAAAATTTATGCCTGTCAAATGATAGCATATTAGCATACTGATTCAGAAAAATTCTATAAATCACTCATGAACCTGAGTCTGGAATTCTTCAACCAGTTTTCTAGCTTCTTTATTAGAATGAATGACATATAGCATAAATACTTTTCTTGCATCAGCAGATGGAAAAATATCACGCAAAGATTCTTTCTCCACCTGAGCAGCCTGCAATAGCAAAACCTACTTCTAAACCTTTCAGACAAGATAGGTATTCAGTCTATTACAACACTCAAAGGAAAAAAAATCCATATCCTCAGAGAAAAACCCAAGAAAACTGATCCCAAGGTTCCACCAGTAAGATGGGAATAAAGGGTGATTTTCTTACAGGCATATAAAGTTTTAGAGAATCTAAACTGTCTATATAGAAACTGCCACTTGAAATCTCCCTATATCTGTTCAAAGAAGAAGTCACTTGTAGCCTGAACGACTTAGGTGCCGGAGGCAGATTCAAAAAGACTTTATTTGCTACTCAGTAGCTCCAAAACAAATTATGTCTGTAGTGAAGAGCAGGTAAAGTGTACCAGTTAGCTGTTTTCTAAAATAACAGTTAGCTGTTTTCTAAAATAAAACTGCTTTCATCCAAAATGTGATAACTTTCCTTTTTTTTTCAGCCTTAAACTAAGATGGAAATTTCTGATCCAGAAACGAGTCTTTTATTATTATTATTAGTAGTAGTAGTAGTAGTAGTAATAGTTACTTCAGATTAAGTTTTGCTTAGGTTTGAAGAAATCTCTGAAAGGAAACAAGTTTTCTCTCTCCTCTCCCCAGCTCTGGTTAACTAGTTACCACGTTACTTCTCAGAAAGATTTTCAGGTTTGCACAGAGAAGGCGACACAGTAGGAGGCAGTCTCAGTCAACACATATTGCTTACATTGAAAAAAGAAGTGCAGGGTGGGAAATTTGGGGTATGATGTGTATTATTCCTACTGAAAGGAATAACAAGGCCTTCTCTACTACAGCTCGGCATTTTGGCACTATCCTTCTAATCCTAATCCTAAAATTTGGACCCATGGAAAGGCTATTCCCCAAAATAAATCCAGAAAATAAGTCTGGTGAAATCTGACTCACAGAAGGCAGCTGGTTACAGTCTTCAAATATGTATAAATGCCCAAAAAAATAACCAAACAAAAAGGAGTATAATTAACTGTTCATCAGATTTATGAGGTATGTAACAAAACATGTTTGTCTTGAACAGCAATCAGGGTGATTTAGGCCAGTGGCTGGGAACCCACTCCCAGTATTTGGAGATTCTCTGACATTCTCTGTCACTGGAGATTTTTGGCAATATAACCAAACATCTATTAGGAATGCATGAGATATGAGTCACCCTCCTGTATCAGGAGGATCAAAAAACTTTCCTTCTGACACCTATTAAATCACACGAAACATAAATCACATGGATGCGCAGAAGAGATTAAGTAATTTCATTCCACAGAATTTCACAAACCGGAATACATCCGCATTAAGCAGAAGAACATGTGCGTATGTGTGTGGATTCTGCTGTGGTATGAGATGTACACATCTTTAACTATTGCCAACACAAAGCAGTGAAGCAACCTGATTTATTATATGCAGATTTTTCTGCATTGTTGCTAAACAGTACACTGGTCCAGAGTTACTAAAATACTTAAAAAACTATACATTATGTAAACAAAACATAAATAAGACAGCATAGTTCTTTGTACATATAGTTTAGTACAGATTGTTAGGAATTCGTGAATATGTACAATTTTATACCCCATAAATTGCATTTTTACAATGCATAAATATTTTTACAGAAAGAAATCAAACAAAAATAAGATTTGACAAATGTAAAGGAGACACATACTGTCATAAACACACTGCCAAACTGTCCATATTGTAAGGATGGAACATGTGCAAAAGCTAGATTTCTCTGAACTTACAATGTTTATGAACTCATTGGTCATCTCTGACCATTTTATCAAACAACCCTCTGAAAGCATACCTCTTAAACTCAACAAACTTTTTCTCCTCACAATCCCCACAAGTAAACAAAAATGAACTATAACTTTAAGAAGTAATTTTAAGTAAATCGACCATTTCAAACAATGTAAGAAATGATTTAACGGTTACAACAACAACTTCTCAAGTCAAGAAAATGCCCCAAAATCTCCAAGTGGCTCATTTGCACTGAATTCAGGATGCAGCTTTATCAGGTTTATCAAGGCAAGACGACTGAAGATCAGGGAAGACAGCAGGGGGATCTCTGCTTGTGGACACTACAACAGAAGGCAGTGACGAAGAGAGGGAAGAAACTTTTGACGCTGGAGCATTTATAGCATTCAAAATGGCTCCCTCTGGACTGACCAACAATTTTTTTATAGATGTGTCCAAGTGAAACACTGAAGTGTTATTTAGTATCTGACTGTTCCCAGGCTGAATGGCAGAAACCACTGAAGATGCAGCTGAAACATTAGCAGGCGATTTTACCACTGAAGACACAGACACTGGTGCTGCAGACGGTGGAGTAGTTGAGCTAGCTGGCGTAGTCAGTACCTGGGGTGTCGCATGTACAATCGGTAAAGCATCTGCAGACCCAAAGGAGTTCACAATTTTTGTAGCGCTTTTCAAAGGATGCTTTGATGTCTGCCAACTTAATGAATTACTTGGTGCTAGGGTGGTCTTTGAGGGTACTGCAGTAACAACTGGGGCACCTTGAGCCTCTTGACCATGGTTAACAGTTAAAGAAGGAACCGGTTTTGTATTACAAGAGAGAAGAAGCACATGGCTGCCAGCTCCAAGGCCTTGTGGTGGAACAACGAAACACGTACCATTAATCATTATCTGAGTTCCAGGTGCCAAAGGCACACAAGTGTTAATGACTATTTTCTGTTGAATAGAAGGTTCATTCAGCTGACCTCCTGTCTTGCTTGTTACAGGTGATGACACTGCAGATGTCTGAGTGTTAGAAGCACAAGTGGGAGCAAGAGTTTGTTTCATTATATTAGCAGGCATCTGCTGGCACTGTAGGGAAGAAAAATTGGGAAAACTAATGACTTTGCCTGCATTTGGTGATGCAGGAGGCAAAAGAGTTTGAGGTTTCTGAATATTTGCATTACTTGGCATAGCAGCTGAAATTCCTGATGATTGAAACTGAAGTAGTGTAGGTGGAGGAGGTACTGGAGGAGGAGCTGAAACTGCTGCCAACTGAGGAATTGTAGGTAACACTTTAGGGGAGGTGACCACAGATCCAGGTAGGTTGATGACTGGAAACTGTAAAGCAGATGGTAAATTTTGAGGAGATACTGTTGGTTGTGTAGTTGAAATTAGCACAGATGAAGCAAGATGACCAGTTTTCACAGTTGATAAACCCACAGCACTTCCCGTATTTGATGTACACAGTCGATTACCCAGAACTGGCCTTATTCTTGAGGTATCACTTCCACCAATCAAAACTGTAGGCCATGTCCCAGAAGTCCCACTTGGTGTTACTGAAACAGATTCTACATATGCATTTGCTGTTGTCACTGTAAAAGCAGTTGCAGCTTTGGTTGCAATGCATGCAGATTCACTAACGGATATGCCACTTTGATTTACAAAACTTGAACACGCAGGAACCAAACCACCACCGCTTGACAAAGTCACATTCTTTTTATCTTCTCCCTTTGAAATGGCAGACTGCAATACATTAATTGGTGGAGCTTGATGGGCATTGCCTTTAGTATTTACAATAGTCTGACCTATATTTAGTCCAATTTTCACGTCTTTAACTTGAGCCACCGTAGGTGATGAGTTTATTCGTACTGGTGCACCTACTGTGGATGGGATCAGAACCAACTGAGGTTGCTCTGTGGCACCAACAAAGGTTTTGCTTAAGGACGAAGGAAGATTATGTTTCAATGACTCTGCAACTACATTAGTGTTTGACGGGCAACTGGCAATTTGTGTATTAATTAAAACTAATTTCTGAGCACTAACACCAGTGGATGCTGGAGAAGGTATAATATTGATTCCTGACACTCCACAAGGGGACAAAATAGGCGGATTTGTGACTAACATAAGTTTTTGTATGGCATTACCACTGATTACATCTCCATTTGTTGCTGAATTCAATTCAGATTGTATAACAGGCTGTTTTTTGGTTTTAATATCACCTTGTTGCTGCACTAAAGAATCTGGACTAATGACAGTGTTATTCTGTCCAATGCTAACTGTATTAACAGGACTGCTTGGTGCAGACAACCCAGGTGCTGACAAAGTACTAGCTGATGAAATGGAGGACAGAGAAGGAGAGGACACATGGCAGTTTTTCTCTACTGCTTGACCTAAAGTGCCCCCACAAGTAGGCTGTTCTAAAGTGAATTTGGGATTTTTCTCCAACATCTGGTTCAAATCAGCAGGGAAAGCTGGAATGCTGATGGTTGAAGCTGTGGAAGAGGCAAGCCCAGAAACACAAGATTGTCCAAAATTTGGGAGACTAGATGTGGCTGTTGCTATGGATGGAAGAGTAGAGGGTGATACTGTTGATTTTGGCACCAAAAATGCCTGAAGTTGAGGAGCATAAGTGAAAACTGAAGTAGGAGACAAACTATTAGGTGAAAACTGCTCTGGGTTTGTCTGCACTTTTACAATTCCTGTGTTACCACCTCGTGTTGTGACCAGAATAGATTGTGATTCTCTTATACACACGGTTTTCAGTTCTTGCCTAGTATCACGGGAGTCAGTTGCCTGCTGTGTTGTGAGACTATGAAAGACAGAAGCAGTGTTTGCAGATGCACTTAACGTTGCTGCTGATACCAAAGGCTCACTAGCTATGGAAATATCATGGGAACTCAAAGATACAGGCAATGTGGCAGCTGAAACTGTTGTCTTGGTTTTATCACTTTCTGTTTGGCTCACTGTAATTGCTGCTGATAATAAATTGCCTGCTGGAGTTACAGAGGGCAATGGTTGTGTTCTGTTGAGAGGATCAGCCACCTGTGACAACTGCGTGATGCTTTTGCTAAGAATTGCACTAGGTGGTTGAATGGTAGGATTGGTGGGTGCTGTTACCAGGACAGGCGTTAAAGAAACATTGATATTTGATACTTGTGAGAAACCTGTACAGTGCAGCTCAGGAAGCTTTTGTTGCAGTGATTGAATGTCTTTGGATACAGTTTTTCCATCTTTCTGCTGAATGAGGACATTCTTAGGTAAAATGAGAACTTGTTGCATGACTTTTTCTCCAGTTTTAGGGTCAATCACAGGTTGCATCTGAATTTTCACAGAGCTGTTATGAAGATCTATAGGTATACAATGGCCATTTGGCATTTTGTATATCATTTGTAAAGGATTCTTTGAAATGGTCTGGCAGGGCAGTGCTGGTTTTATTGATGATGATTCCAAAGGTGATACAATCGGCTTTTCAGAAGCAGATATACTAATGCTTGGGGAAGGTGACAGTTGACTTGTTAAGGTCACTTTGTTCCCAGTATTCTTGGCAAGCAAGGCCTGGACAGGTTTGGTCCCTTTCAGAATATTTGATATTGATGTTGCAGGATCTGCCGGGGAATTTGATTCTGGAGGTGATGATGCTTCAGAATATTTTGGCTCAGTCAAGCCACTGTCTGTATTTACATTATTTTCTGGACTGTGGATCACAGCCTCACTAGTGCTCAGCTTAGCTTTCTTCCTTGGTGAAAGCTCATTAGTGCTTTGATCCAGGCAACTGTTTTGCTTGGACTGTCGTTTAACAGATTTAGGCAGTGTCTTCTGTATTTCTTTAGCAGTTGAGTCCTTTTTCAGAAGTCTGCTTTTTCCTGCAGGTAAACTCATTTCTAAGAGTTTCACTTCTTCTGCAAGTATATTAAAACAGAAATTCTGTTTTAGAAGTCTGCAACTGATATATCTATATGACAGCATTACAGCATTTAGGTAAAGGTGAAATGCTAGTTTGTAGGCATTTGTTATGAAAACTATACAGATTAGTCTCTGAGGTGATGACAGTGTTAATCACCTTATTATGTCCTCCTACTTTCTTTTTTCAAACAAGATAAGTCACTGCCAATTTAAAGTACATTCTGAACAGGCCAATACTGTTAGCACAGAAATAGTTAACTACAAAAATGGCAAAAGCTTACTTTACATATATGAAAATTTTTCAATCAGTCATGTCTGCCAACTTTTACCTAATAGCTGCCACTATTGCAACAAAAAAATCTACTCCAATGTTATCACAGTATTAGTTAAGGCAAAAAATAGGACACAGCCACATGTGGAAAAATTAGTAGGTTCCTGAATCAGATTCAGGCTATCAAATTCCCATAAACACTTACCATTGTCTGAGTGATCTTTTTGGGGAATTTCCACATGTTCTGCAGACTCTGAACATTTACTGGTTACTATTGCAAAAGAATCTTTGCCAGAGTCAGCTTCGCTTTCATCATTACTCCATAACTCTCTGGTAAACTTATCAAGCTCTGGGTGTCTCTTAAAGTCATCATAGTCCTTCTTCAATCGAGACCTTGAAAATAACACAGCTAATTTTGTTGACCATCACAACTCAATTTTTCATGCTTTTGCTTGTATTTGCTGTCATATTAAAAAAGCTGGCACAGAACTGCCCTTCAAAAAGTTCGGGGTAGCTCTGCTAGTGTCTAAAACTCAGAAAACGTAAAGCGACATAACCTTCCTTATCTGAATACTCCTGGGCTACTACTTACTTCCTCCGTATCTTCTCCTATATCACTTTTTAGAAAAGACTTATGGATATTTTAGCATGTAAACACGGTGAACTGAAGAGGTCAGCCAAGAGTAACCAAAAACAAAATCTGGGAGGACGAATTATCAGAAGAAAGGATACTAGTAATTAGAACCTTGTCCAGAACAGACTCCCTTAAGAAGCCAAAAAAAGGTCTTCAGCTTACCCATGCTTATGGGTTAAAGTAACAGCTCTTTGTGGCAGGGTGCAGTGCATCTGCTCCCTACAGCACAGGGAGCTGGGTGTGGCGACCAGGTCTGCAGGGACCTGCCAGGACCCTGTCTCGCCGTACCAGAGAAAAGCCAGCAGCACTAGGGGGTGGCATCAAGGTTCAGCCAATGGTCCAGGTCATCAGGCAGGCTTGTGGTGTTACAAACAGATCCACAGTCAAGCCAGGAAGTTAATCCAAAGGCCAAGACCAGGCCCCATAAGAATAACCAAAGTCAAATGCAGCCCAGTGTTGGCTGGGCAACAGGACAAACACCAGGCTGGGAAAGCCAGCCTGTAGGTCAGAGTGATAAGGCCCAGTGAGGTAATCTGGGTCAGACAGAGCACAGGTCTGAAGTGAGTGGACGGGTCTATTGCGAGGCTAAAGCAGAGTGGTGCACTGATGGCCCCGAGCTGGCCTGAAATGCAGACCTGGGCCTGGGGTGCCTTGGTGGGAGGCCCAAGGAGGTGGCCAGGGTCATTTATTACACTCACAACCTTTCTATATGTGGTCTCCTACTGATTTGGATTACTGAAAATAAACATTGTGTGAAAATGTCCTGTGCATGATAATTCCATTGCTGGTATTTTGAACTTTAAGCTCAGATATGCCCCATTACACTAGAGCTTCTGGATGGAAACATTTTTTATTTTGAGGTATTTGTTCTCAGGGCCAGTGGACATGTCTGATCAGTAGGTACAAGCCACTGTTCCTTTCAAACTTTGCTGCTATTTAAATATCATTCAATGCTATGCTGTTTAACGATTTTGAAAGGGCTAAAGGACCTCTCAGAAGTAATACATTTCTTACTATGTTTAAACCTGTCACTCGACAGTGTTGCTATACTCATGTTTCTCTGACATATCTCATTCCAAACATACACAAATTTATAAATCTAGAAAGACTCACAGTAGGCTGATTTAAAATGCCAGAAAAAGCCCTGGTGTAGCTTTTCAGTTTTTCATATTTTCTCAGTAAAATAGCAATAAAAACACTCAATATGCTGTGATGTAACTATTGAGACAAGGATACTCAAGGACTCTAAAGCATGTTAGCAAAAAACCCTTTGAAGTTAAACCCAAGCTTAAACCCATTAATGATTCACTAAAGCAACATCAAATAACTCCTTAAACTAAAGCACTGACAATACCGTATTATAATTTTTAGGAGTATCTTGATTCACCTTAGAAGACAACCATGACTGATTAGTTTTTAAAAATAAAATAAGTTCTATAATTTTGTTCTGTTTCCCATTTCATGAACTATTGATAAGAAAAGCAGCTAATTACCTGTTTCTTTGAAATGCTTTCAATAGCTTTGGTTCCCATGGTAACAGTTCATTAAGCAGTCGTATTAATGTACCATGCAGTTCTTTTACTGCTTGCTTCCTATGATACCATCTTCCCTGAAAACATAAATATAACTTATTTATCACTGCACTGTACTTGATTCTTGTTATACCGTCCTAGTCCTACATTAATCTTCACATATTTTAATACAACATAGAAAAATAATTACTAGACATGTTTCATAATTATGCCAACCACTAAGCTTGTAAACCGTGTAAGGCAAACCAATACTTATACAGCTTTTATACTGCAGAGGGACAATGACCTAATTTTAAAAAAAGCCATACTAAAAAGATCTAAACTTTTTACAGACTGCTGAAATTCAAAACTGAAGCACAATTCTTTGAACAAACAATGTGTTTAAAATTGCTTACAAGAGTACTTAATGTTTGAAGCGGTGATTTCAGGTCAAATAAACTGGTTGCATATACTAACTTTTAATAGGAAATACTAAAATTTCTATATAAAAATCTCACAATAATTTAATTTAAAATAATAGAAGCTATACCATAATTTTCGAAGTAAAAGGTAAATTGCTACAATTTCCAGGGAGGTAAACTACATTTCTGTTTGTATTTTATCCGAAGTTCTGCATAAAGTTCTCTTTTTTTAATACAGGAAACTTCTGTACATTGATCATTGATGAAGTAACAAACTATGGACCAGGAGCAGTAAGACAGTGTAAAAACTTCAACATTTTAATTCAATTACATAATTAAAGATTATTTTCTTTTCCAAACTAAAATATGTAATGTCAAGATTTCCCACGAAGAATTCACATTTTGTTAAGTTTGGAAAGCCTGTCTGAGGATAAAAGACATAGGGAAAAACAGAGTATATCCACACGGCACAGTTTTATCATTTGCTTACATAGGCAACATGCAATACTGAAAAAAAAAAACCAACTTGAGGGACATAACTGTGAAAAACATCTTTTAATGCACTGAGACACTTATGTCTTACATGTATTTGTTCCAAAAACTTTATTCTCAACTTATTTAGCACAGAACAACACATATGTATGAGCAACTATGAAAAGGGATGAGGTGCTTTTGCCCGTTTACTAAAAAGTATAGTTTTCTTACTATGAGATTTGGTCTCATCTCTCACAGAGCATGATAAGAGAGTAAAGACACTACCTGTCTACAGCAGAAAAAGAAGACCAAGAAACTTGTTTATTTGACAGACATCCTTAGCTTTGAGTATAGTTCATCTCCTTAAGAAACAGCTGCATTCCAACACACACACACACACACACACACACACACACAAATTATGGCAGGAGAGGCTGGATCGAGCTACGCAGAACAGCCTTTCAGGAGTCAGCAGTAATGATCCTTCTACAGATAGCGCAGTAATTCCTCTCTACTCATTCCAGTAGATCTTTCCACTGCACATCAACATCAGCTAGGCTGACTGAACACTTGCTTGAAGAGTAGACTTTTTTTATTTTTATGGTTTCTCAGTTACATGTTATACAACATGTAATTAATGGCTACTCCTTTATTCCTTAATTAATATTACAAACCCAAAGCTTTTAAGTAGGAACTATGCCATATTAGAAGGTCACGGAAATAGTGTTCTAAATTTCCTCTAACTGTGGCTATTCATACTGCACTTGTAATGTACTGTAGCAAACAGGCATACAGAAAACAGCTACACGTGTACTGCAGCCTAACAAAGCAGTTAGTATCACTTTTTAATGATAGCAGTAAACAGAATTAATTCTAAATATGTAAAAAGAACTGCATAGATTTAATTTTCTCTTAAAGTATATATAAAGTTTTTCTCTTTTAGAAGGATGAATTTTTATAATGCATAAGCTTAGTGGAATGTACCAAAAAAAAAATCAGAACGAAAAAAAGAACAATGCCATTACTGTAAAAACATAGAAATGCTGCAGATGTATTGGGTTTAGGAAAGAATGGTATCTGTGTAAAAAAACATAAACCAGAAAGTCACTACAGAATAACAGAGAACCGCAAAAAAGCGAATTTGAGAGACTCATTTACCTCTAAATAAAGCTGAGATCTTGATTTAGGTAGAAAAAACAGAGTATTTATGAGCTAGAAAAATATGAGCTGAACCACTGAGTAAACTTGGAGGTGACAACTGTGTCATGCGTTGAAGAGCCAGACAGAGGCAGAAGACTTAGTCAAGAACAGACTTCAGGACTTTATTGTATTCACTATCACTTCAAGAAAGAACAAAATGATTACAGGTCACTTTTCTCCTTCCTTATAAAAATGTCAAAACCAAAACCCCACAGAGTTCTAGAAACAGTTTTCAAACTGAATTAATGTCCCTTAGCTATAATCTATGGTAAATTCATATGTTGTTTGCTTCCCAATTACTTATACACAATTTATGAAAACAATATAGAAATATTAAATTTGAAAATGAATACTCTGTATCTAAACAACTCTTTTTTCTTAGCAGGGCTTAGTAGCTGGCAACTAGTATCAGTGGCAACGCATGTGAAGAATTTTCCCTACTCAGAAATAGTCATGGCAGAGCGCAAAGATGTTGAAAAAACACATCTTTTCCTTTTTAATCATTCTGCTTCAGTTTGTTTCCTGTGTAAACAAAAGACTTTTTCAAAGCCCAGATATTACCCAAAATTTACCTTAAATGTTTAAATAGTGAAAGAAGAGAAATAATAAGGAATATTTATAACTTTGAGGTATCCCTACAAGTATAGCATTACCTTATGAGATTTGATTGTCTAATATAGTTCCCTGCACTCTTTTGGGATAAAAAACAGAACAATTATTGATAACCGAATAACTTAACTCTTTACTTCACTGTTGCATAGTGGCTGTGGCCAATTAATACCTCTAGAACATAAAATTCCCTTTACAAATGATTGTATTCCATACTCCTTAACACGGAATAGCAGCCACAAATTGAAGCTGAGGAGGCTCAGGTTGGGCACTGGGGCACAGATTTTTACTAGAAAGCTACAGCATTAGAGCAGGTTGCCCAAAGAAGCTGTGGAATCTCCATTCTTCCCAGTTTTCAAGACTCGGCTAGTCAGGCCACAGATGACCTGATAAAGCACTGGCAATAGTCCTGCTTCAAGACAGGGAGACCTTCAAATGTTCTTTCGAACCAACTGTTGTAGGATTCCGTGATACTCCATTAGAGCTGAAAAGATAAAATCTTGGCACATAACCTCAAGTGATACAGGCTTTACGAATAAATGGAATACAATGTACCGACATTGTACACAGAACGTGTTGATCACAACAGAACAGTCAAAACTCTTCTATTTAAAGTAACCAAAGCATAGCTGTCCAGGAAGCTCCAGAAGGAGTGGTTTGGAGGAACACTGTGTTTAGTGCAAAGGAATAGATATTACAGCTCCATACTTAGCTCATTCATCAATAAGAAAGATGCAGAGAAGGGGATCAGATGCATTGACTTCTTTTGTTGTCAATTTAAATCCAATTGGGCATTATCAGTAGACATGAAATTATACAACTATGTCAAAGTAAGGTGGTACCTCAGAAGTAAACACACTCTTCATATCACTGAATGAAAGGTTCAACCTGTGCTCTTAGAACATATGTGAATAAAATGTCATTATATTTATTTGAGCTAATTCTAACTCTCTGGTAACTTTTTATAGACTGCAGTCCTAACAACTAATTATTCTATCTGTGAATTAAAAATATCCATTACCCAAGATGGCTGTGTGTAGAATTACATTCCTACATGGCCTGTAACTCACAATTCCAGCTCCACTGTTTTTATACCTTGATTTGACTTCTAGTTACCATCTCGTTTCAGGCTGTGACAAGCCAAATGTTATTTTCTTCTGGAAATACAACATATGCTATTAACAACAAAACAGACCTAGATACAAAACAGTATAAAATGTGACTTAGAGCTATGATGATTAGTTACAACTATACTTTAAAAATGCAAATAAATTTTAGAAATGTGCTGAATGTTTCTACAAAACTAGAGAGAGACATTCAACACATTCTGAACAGAAAACTTACCTTTTAAAATAAGGTTTCTGACATCCAGAGCAGCCAGGGAATGCTGACTCCACTCTCCGTGATGCCCCAGCATACTTTATTCTGGCATACTCATCATGGAACCCCAAAGCAGACTGGAGCCAGGGTATGGATATATGGGGTAAGGACTAAACTTGATAGGGGAGTTTTTGGTTTGTATTTAAATAAAAACACACACACAACCACAATATTATGCAGTTTTATAAGACTTTCTGAAATCTTTACTTTATATCCTGAGGACATAAAATAAAGAAAATTAGAAATCTTATAAAACCATGCAATATTGTTCAAAAGGGGTGGTGGTGGAGGGAGAAAACTTACCTTACCCTTAATAGGCCTGCTCCATTCTGCAGCGGGGTTCTGTGGTATGTGTGACATCACCAGCCTAGCGTTTTCTAGTGATGTCACACGGAGAGGGAGCTGGTGATCTGCAGCTGCTTTGGACATCAGATACCTAAAGAAAAGAGACCGATAACTTTTCAATTCAGATACGAATTGGGATTGAATGTCCCTCTGAACCAATTTACAGGCCAAAATTAAAACTTCAGACACTTCAAAGGCAGCTTTGACTGAATAAGAATGTATGGTCAGACTACATAAGTGTATCTGTCCACATATATGATTTGGTGTGTTTTCATTTTGACAAAGCTTAGTTACCTTTTACAGAAAAAAAATCCTGCAAGTCACTGTATTTTGCTGTCAGCAACATCACCTTGAACATTGGAACTGGCCTATGAATAGCTAGCCCCTGACATTATTTGAAGAGTGGGACAAAACACAGTCAAGAGAAATCTGTAGTAAATTATAAAACAAATTCACCATGACCTCCCTTTCTCAATACATCACTCAGAATTTACCTGTAACTAGTGAAAAGACTGGTAAATCACCTTATTTCTGCTACAAAACTTTTGGGTTTTTTGAAAACCTTCAAGCTGCATGTCACGACATATAAGGATCTACTGAAACCAAACTGTTTCCAGAAATGATACATCAGACTCTTAACTATTGCAAAAGAAAAATAAAGTTTTAAA